TTTGTCTAAAAAATATGCACAACATTCTCAAAATAGACATCAAGAGTGTTTATCAAGACAGAAGTGAGGTAAAAACAAAATTAGCTCAGAAGGAAATAGTTAGATGTATTGTTTGAACTGATACCAATATAAATAGTTAGATGTATCGTTTGAACTGATACCAATATAATGTCTCTTATCCGTGTTTCTATTTGGTATTAGGATAAATTAATGCTTTGTTCTCAAGCCAAGTTTTAGGTTGTCCATCCGTTATTTTCTTATGTATTATTTGACACTTATTATAATTATTTGTACATTTTTAATGATTCTCTTAATAGATCGATCTTATCCCTATTTAAAAAAAATTAAATCAAAGATTTTTCCCCTTGGTTTGGAAACCTGAATTAACAACCTAGGTTAAAAACTAAGTGCAAAGGCATGAGAAGACACGATTATGGTGTTATTTTAATGATTGGAAAATTCTTAGATAAATCACAAAATTTAGTATGAGAATTCTATGTTAGTGATACAGCGTATTTAGTAAAACAAAGAATTTCTCTAAGAATTAACTCATATTTAATGAATAATCATTAGCTACTAACTATTTTACTAATGCTCACTTAGAATGGTGAGAAATATCAACATAGGTGGAGAACCTTCCACAAGAGGTGTCTAAATTAAAATCTATTAACCATATGATATAGTACTTGGCTGAGAAATTTTGACTTAGGTGAATGAATTATAAACCGTTGTTAATGGATTAGGATGTTTAAGTTAAGGTTAAATAGAATTGGCTACAAAATGAGGATGCACTTATGCGATATTGCCTTAGTTTATTCATCAAATTCGAAAAAAGGGATATGATTTCTTGGAAATAATTAGAAAATCAATTCGATTTGGCTTAGTATTTTTCACTAGCCATCATTGATGATTGGAATAAGGAATTGGTTATCGGGTTTTTGTAAGGACCATTGTTACAATGTTGTCTGTCCAACTTTTTTCTTTTGCTTTTTGTTGTTGTTGTTGACAATGATAGTATTTAAAATTTTAATGATTTTATTCTCATGGTCCTTTTAACTTCTTTAAGATAATAAGATCCAATTCAATATATTTTCGGTGTTTTTAACTTGAATATACATAATGCTCAACACATGTAATTTGAATATTCATATGTCTTGACAAACAAATTGAATATCGATAAATGTGTCACAGAAGATAAGAATTATTGGTCAAAAAAATTTAAAAATTTATTTGACCAATGTTGTTTGGAAAACGTTGGCGGTAATGGATTTGGTGGTGGAGGTAACAATATTGTTAAGAATAAGGAAGAGAGTATTCATGGTGGAGATAGAGGTTTCAAAGATTAAGTTAAAGAGCAAATATCGGACAATGCTCATGATTTGAGCGAGTAAATTCTATTTGCATGGAAATGATGTTTCGAATTCACAAATATTTTACCATCAAACTTCTACCTTCAATGAAATACAAGAGAAGAAGAAAATTATGGTAATGGTGGAGGTAGTGGATCCCGTCTGTTGATGATGGAGATCTTGGTTTTATTGACAGAAATGAAAGCATTGTTATTGGTGGAGATGATGTTGATATGGCGGAGCAATCACAAAAAAAATTTTAAAAATAGGTATATTTATGATAAAGTCGGGAAACTCTATTATATACTTTTTAATTAACTATTATAATATCAATACTGTTGATGAAATGCATCCGGCCAACGGACCGGGTACCAAACTAGTAATTTGAAAAGAGAAGTTGGTGGGGGTACCAAGAAGGCTCATAATGTGGCTTTAGCCGCCGTTGCTAGTGATCTAGAGTCAAACCAAAAGAATCAAGGGATGAATTTATATATGTGTGTAGTGTAAGAGGACTAATCATAATATGAAAGATCGTTGGAGGATTAAAAAGAGGAACAAAGAAACGGAGATTGGAAATAGCCGAGGTGGTTCGTAGACCAGCACAGGCTTGTACCAAATTACCTTTCCACCATCCGAGGCTCATCATTCATCAACAGACCATACCTCAATCTTAAGCAACTGCTAACTAGTACCTCCATGGAACATGGCATTGAATATCAAATGTCATATGTTAGAGACTCTTGAAAAGAATTCTAAAGTGAAGAGAAAGTATCAACACATTCTAAATGTTAATAGATCGTTTAGATTTCAATCATATTATATAATTTACTAAAGACATTAACGAGAAAAGAAAGTTACATTCTCACTATGGATTTGGTTGGTAGAGAGAAGGAACAAATTTTTTTTATAAAATAAAATTAATAAGGACAATATTTTGATATATATTTAAAAACAAACTCTTAGCTAAATCTCTTATTTGGAAATTCAACTCTTGGACACATCTAGAAAAAGAATAAATATGTGCAAAATTAATTAGACCGTCCCCTACATAATTTTTTAGTAAAGAGGTCCAAAATGAAAGTGAAAAACTAACGTGATCTAATGATAATTTTCAGTTATCACATACATTCTCGTAAATTTATGATCATTGGTTTCTAGATACTTTTCTCATTAAAGGAAATAGTTCTAAACTAAAATGGTCAAATTCCCCGAAAGTCATTGCAAAAGACCATGATCTTTTTAATCCATTAATTCATCTTATCATAGATTTATGGAGCGGATCTTATGATAGAAACTATCACACAACAAGATCTTCAATCACCTGCATTGATTTTCACCTATAAGTAAGCAAACTCAAAGCCTCATATATGGTGATTAAACATACAAAGAAACAACAATGTGGACGCAAAATTGTTTTTTTGTTGCCCTCCTATTATTAACCGTAGCAACTTCTTTCATCGAGGCGCATGGTCATCAGCATTGGTGGGATTTGGGGTTTCAAAAGGCAAGGGTGGAAGTGAGGAATGAGCTAGAAGGAGAGCGGGAACTGAGAGTTCATTGCAGGTCCGGAGACGACGATCTCGGGCTCCGGGTGCTAAAGCCACACAATTTCTTCAGTTGGAAATTTCGGCCAAACTTATGGCGAACCACACAATTCTATTGTGCAATGGACTGGGGAGAGGGAAGGGTTCATTTGTTTGACATCTACATCTGGAGAAGGGATTACGCGCGTTGTGGAAACTGCCTATGGATCGTGAAGCAGAGTGGGCCATGTTTTTATGACATGGGAAATCGTGCTTATGATTTCTGTTATCCATGGAACCCAGGAAGCCTAATGAAATTGCACTAAAATAAGAGTTAATTTTCAAAATAAAGTATTGTACGTAATCTGCTAAGACTAAGAGTTTTTTTTTTCGAACAATAAGGGACTTATATATCCTACTGTGTGATGTAGTTTTTGATTGGGTTAGTAGGACATTGGTAATTAGTTTAGTTTTCTATTGCATGTTGCACACTTTCTCTTTTAGTTTTGGTTTTGATTAGTTGTTAATGGTGATTATATGTTATGATAGATTTGGTTTTTTGTTATTGAATTGTTAGTTGGAAACTTGACATCTAATTAAGGATCCTAATTTTCAATAACACATATTCTCATAAAATTTTGTTTCGCCTATCGGTCATTTGGGAGTACTAAAAAGTATTTTGTAAATGTTTAATGGAAGCGGATAGGGTACAAACTACTATCTACAAAAGCGTACAAAATCAATATCTTCGTTCGTCCATTAACTTGATATTAGAGCATCTACAGGTCTCCACTATCAGCCACGATACAGATGATGCATGCATGGCAAATCAAGCAAATATTATAACATCCTCCTTCAACAACACTTGGCCCGTTGCAACTTCTAATCGAATGGGCCGTGTTTTTATGATATGGGAAATCGTGTTTATGATTTCTGTTATCCATAAAACCTTGGGAGCCTAATGAAATATGAATAAAATAATAGTTGGTTTTCAAAATAAGTTATTGTACGTGGTCTCCAACAAATTTTTTTCCTGACCAATAAGGGACTTATATATGTAAATGTTTGATGTAGTTTTGGATTGGGTTTGCAGGACATTGGTAATTAGTTCAATTTTTTTTATTGAATGTCACATATATTCTCTTAGGTTTGGTTTTGATTAGTTGTAATTGGTGATTATATGTTATGATAGATTTTGTTTTGTTATTGAATTGTTGTTGGAATACTCGACTTCTAATTAAGGACCCTAATTTCAATATCGGCTATCATCGTAAATTTTTGTATACCCCTTTGGTGATTTGGGGAGTACTAAGAAGTATATGCAAATCTTTTTTGGGGAGCGGATAAGACAAATACCCTTGTCTACAAAATCTTAAAAAATCAATATCTCCATCTGTCCATTAACTTGATATAGACACCCTGCAACTCATATGTGGACAAAAGGAGCGGCGTGATAATTTCTCATTCATATCTTCTTCTTTTTTGTGATTTGTTGTGAGCAACTGAGCATGTCATAGATCCCTCATATGAGAAAGAAGTTTTCGACCAATCAAAGTCTAGTTTTTATAACTCCACTAAATAAGGAGTTTCATATTTTAGACTTTTCCATTTTATATGTATTGATCTCCTGCATCCACTTCAACGCTTACTGAGACAAATCAATTTTTTTAGTTTAACTCATGTTTTCTTTTTCTTTTATTATTCTTTCTAGCTAGCCAATAGCAATGTGTCACCTGTCATACTCTTTCTTTTCTATTTTTTTTCCCCTATTGTTTTCAAACGATCCGTATTTATTTCATTTCAAATCAAAATTTTGAGATAATTTTGATAAAAAAGTAAGATTTCATGTGATCTACATAATGATATTCATTTTTATATATGTTAGGGAAAAAATGAAAACATCATGGTCACTTATTCATGGTATCAATATCATTCAGTTCTATATCATAATACACGATTGGCTAATGTACCACCAACCATAACTCATACAAAATGCAACAATATTGATATAGTTTAGCAAATTTTAAAATTATTAATATAACAACCATAAAATTAACATCATTAAAATGTAACAACCTTAAAATTAAAATGTAACAACCATAAGATGTAACAATAATAAAAAAAATTTAAAGTGTCATTAACATGATTATTTTCAGCCACCTCAGCAGCATATTCCCATCACGGACCAACCAAACGCAGCAAACTCTAGCGAACAGAAGGCGAAGATTCGCGGCCAAATTTGTTCCGCCTCCGCGAAAACGCACTCTCTTCTCTCCGTTGACCAGTTAACAGAACACCAACGATTCCTCCTCTTCCTCCTGATCGTCCCTTGTGGCAACATCGCAATCGAGAATGGAGAACTCCGGTGCCGTTTCCAGCTTCGATCATCACCTACCGACCGTCATGGTCACCAACGACGACGGTATCGACGCGCCTGGGCTCCGATCCCTGGTTCGAGTCCTGGTCTCCACTCGTCGCTTCCAAGTTGTCGTTTAGGGAAGCCATCAGGCAGAATTTTATTAATTGGAAATGAAATGTTACATTATTCTTTACAATACCACATATATATATATATATATATATATATATTAATCTACAAATTACCTATACAGTATCCACAGTTTACATATTTACAACCAGAACTATAAACTAACTAATAACTACATCTAGGTCCTCGTCGTTTCCTCCTTGGACAACTCCCCCCCGCAAGCTGGTGCGTATATATCAAGACGACCCAGCTTGACCTGCAACTTCTGAAAAATATGGACTGGAAGCGACTTTGTAAACATATCAGCAAGCTGGTTAGCGGAGGAAACATGTAAAACTTTAATCACACCATCAAGAATCCTATCCCTAATAACATGACAGTCAATTTCTATATGTTTTGTACGTTCATGATTGACTGGATTATCAGCAAGTTTGATAGCAGACATACTATCACAATATATGGGAGTGGGAGAGGAAAGACAGATATGCAAATCACTCATAACATATCTGAGCCATAAGATTTCACAAGTCAAACTAGCCATTGCTCTATATTCAGCTTCTGCTGAAGAACGTGAGACTGTTTTCTGTTTCTTAGAGCGCCAACTAATTAACGAATTCCCTAACAATACACAAAAACCTGTTGTAGACCTGCGTGAGTCTGGACATCCAGCCCAATCGCTGTCACAGAAAGCATTCAATTTAATCTCAGAAGAAGCAGAAAAGAACAATCCTTGACCAGCAGTGCCTTTGATATAACGTAACACACGTTCAGCAGCTTGCATATGTAAATCAGTGGGACTGTGAGTGAAATGACTCAATTGATGCACTGAATAAGCCAAATCAGGCCGTGTATTGCATAGATAAAGTAATCTGCCTACTAAGCGTTTGTAAACAGAAGGGTCTGAAAGTGAGTTACCAGCAGTGGCAGAGAGCTTGGTGCCTGGAATAGAAGGGGAATCACAGGGTTCTGCACTCAGAAAACCATAATCGGTTAATAAATCTAAAGCAAATTTCCTTTGGTTTAACAAAATACCCTTCTCTGTCCTAGCAATCTCTAGGCCAAGAAAAAATTTTAATTCACCAAGATCCTTGATAGTGAAAGTTTGATCCAATTGGTGTTTGAGATCAGTGATAGCTGTGAGATCATTACCTGCCAAAATAATGTCGTCAACATATACAAGTGCAACGGTAAATGACTTGTCATGGCTACGAACAAACATGGAATAATCAGCCTTAGACTGTTTGTAACCGGCAGCAGTTAAAAAATTGGACAACTTAATATTCCATTGGCGACTAGCCTGTTTTAACCCATATATAGATTTGTTAAGACGACAAACAGGATTTTTAAAACCAGGGGGTACAATCAAACCTGGGGGAATCTTCATGTAGACCTCTTCATCAAGGTCTCCATGAAGAAAAGCTGTATTAACATCAAGTTGATGCAAATGCCAATTATTAATAGCAGCTAAAGAAAGAACAAGACGAACAGTAGTGTGTTTAACAACTGGGGCAAAGGTTTCTAAGTAGTCTAGGCCAGGGGTTTGAGTGTACCCCTTAGCAACTAAACGAGACTTAAACCGTTCTATCTCACCATTTGAAAGAAATTTAACTTTGAACACCCACATGTTTCCTATTGCAATCTTACCATCAGGTAACTCTACAATAGTCCATGTATTAGTTTTATCTAATGAAGCTAATTCAGAATTGCAAGCTTCTGACCACCTAGGATCCTTAATAGCCTCTTTGTAAGACCTAGGTTCTAGAATGGCAGAACTGGCTAGTATGTATCTTTTGTATTCTGGACTAAGATTATCAAAAGACATGACTTGAGATATAGGGTATGTAACCCCATCACATTCAACAGCACAGATATAGTCATTAAGCTTCTTTGGGCGCACCTTAACACGAGGAGGCCTCGCATATGGTGGAGGTTCTGCTGCCTGTATTATGTCAACCAGATCAAGAGGCTCCTCAGGAAATGGTAAAGGTGCATCTAAAACAGTAGGAAGTGGGGAAGAATGTGAAGTAGATGGTAAGGGAGAAGTAGAAAGATTATTAGAAACCACTGTTTCTTGAACTTGAATGCAAGGAAAACAAAAATCGAAATCAAGTGTGGAGTTAGAGGTAGCAAATGGAAAAACATGCTCATGGAAAACAGTGTCCCGTGAGTAAAATATGTTATGGGAAACAAGGTTATAAAGCCTATACCCTTTAACAGTGTTGATGAAACCTAAGAAAACACAAGGATCAGCCCTAGGGGCAAATTTGGATCTGTTATGTTGCAAGGTAGATGCAAAAACTAAACAACCAAATACCCTGAAATCAGTATAGACAGGTTTGGTGTGAAAAAGTAATTCATAAGGTGAAAAATTTTGTAACAGAGGAGATGGCATTCTATTAATTAAGAAAACTGAATGTAGAACAGCAAAACCCCAGAATTTAATAGGTAAAGAAGCCTGAAACATAAGAGCACGAGCTACAGCTAATATGTGTTGATGTTTCCTCTCAACGCGACCATTTTGTTGAGAGGAAGCTACACAGGTTGTTTGATGTATAATACCAAACTTACTGTAAAAAGAAGGATTGTTAAATTCCTGCCCATTGTCGGTTCTGATTGTTTTAATTTTAGAAGAAAATTGAGTGTTAACAAAAGCTGGCAGATCTAACATGATTTGTCGAGCTTCACCCTTTGTTTTGAGTAAATAAACCCAAGTGTGTCGTGAAAAATCATCAACACAAGTTAGAAAATACCGAAAACCATCAATAGTAGGAGTCTGATATGGACCCCATATATCTAAATGAAGTAATTCAAACGGACTCAAAGCATGAGATGTACTAGAAGGAAAAGGAAGCCGCTTTTGTTTTGCTAAAGGGCAAACAGTACAAGGAGTTTTATTATTACTAATAGAGGGTTTAACATCCTTGTCTAAGAACTGAGATAGAGGAATGGCAGTATGGCCAAGCCTATAGTGCCAAACATCAAATGGAACAAAATCAGTGTTGAAACAAACATTACAGGCAGATGGTGATGGCTTAGGAAGTGGCATGTTGAGATGATATAGGCCAGATTCTTGCTTAGCTGTACCAATCGTTTCGAGGGATGAAAGATCCTGAATTAAGCAAGAATCGGCAGTAAATTGTAGTGAACAATTTGAGGTCTGAACTAATTTAGACACTGAGATAAGATTGAAAGTAAAAGCAGGGATGTACAAGACATCATATAAGGTCAGTTTTGGAGTAATTTGGATGTTTCCTATGTGTGTGACCTGAACCTTTACACCATTAGGTAAAGAGACTGACACATTACTTATAGTTGTATATGTTTGGAATAAGTGTAAAACAGAAACAACATGATCAGTAGCACCACTATCCACTATCCAATCCATAGAGGTTAAGACTGAATTAATAGAGGACAGAATCATACCAGTATCTTCTGTGGGAACCAAGTTAACCCCAACAGGTTGAGGAATGTAGCCACCAGAATCAGTAGGCTGAGGGAGAACTCCAGAATCAGCAGTGTGAGGAATAATCCCAGAATCAGCAGATGGATGAGTGCGAACTTTTGGAGTAGGAGTCATCTGTCTAGCTGAAGTGACCAAGTTGGCTACAGGAGTGGCAGAAGTGCGCTGTCCTTGCTGGAACTGAGTCTGAGTTAAGAGAGACTGATACTGGGCTCGAGAGAGTACCACCGAATCATCAGCTACCACTCCAGTAGGAGAATCAGACTCAACCACAGCATTAACCCGACGATGCTTATATCCAGGCGGATAACCATGAAGCTTGTAGCAGCGATCCACAGTATGCCCATATCCTTCACAATGTGTACAGTAAGGCCTCTTCTTACCCCCACCAGGACCTTGAGCAGAGGATCCCTTGCCATGACCAGAAGACTGCCCCTTCGAATTGCCATGAGCAGCCAGAGCAACCGGTAGGGAAGAAGGAATCGCAGCCTGTCGTTCATGCTGAGCAAGGCTGGAAAACACCTTGTTGATGGACGGCAGTGGATCATTCAACAACAACTGAGACTTGATATGACCAAAACTCTCATTGAGTCCTTTCAGAAATCTAATGACCTGATCCCTACGCACATACTCTCGTGGAATCGAAGAAGCTAGACAAGCACACTTAGGGTTGCAGGTACACACAGGCAAAGGTCTGAGAATCAAGAACTCTTCCCAAAGGACTCGAAACTTGGTAAAGTAAGTGCTGATGGACATCGAACCTTGTTTGAGAGCAGCAATCTCATCGTAGATATCGGAGATGCGAATCTCATTGCCCTCACTGAACCGTTCTCGAAGATCCTCCCAGGCCTCCACAGCTGTGTTGAACCACAAGATGCTCTGTGCAATCTCAGGAGTAACAGATCGCTGAATCCATCCGAGCACCAGAACATTGGCCTGATCCCAAGCACTCCAGAGAGGATCAGTCGGCGCCGGGACCGGTGAAGCAGAATCAATCAACGGGAGCTTGTTCCTCGCATGGAGCCCCATTCGCATTGATCTTGCCCAGCTGTGGTAGTTGGAGCCAGAGAGCAGCACCGTCACAAGCTGTTGAGCAGAGAGATCGCCATTGGCGACGAAAAATGGATGCGCCGGGGAGAGCGAAGCACCAACAGCCGCCGAACTCGCGGAACCAGCCATCGCACTCACCGGAGGAACGGTACCAGAAACCGGAGGAGCACCGCCAGAAACGCCGATACCTCCCGTCGCAGCACCAGAAGTCGGCGGACAAATCGTCGCATTGACAGCAGAGAAGGTCGCCATCGAACTAGATCTATGATTTGGAACCAAATCGACTGAAATATTGAATCAAGAAACAGAAATCACGATCGCCACAGAGGAACGAATCGCAGAAATCGAACGAAGCAGAGGAAGCGGAAACTGGATCGAAGAACGATCGAGAAGCACAGAGGAGAGAGAAACGAACGAGTTGTTCCTTTCTCCCGAAAACCCTCGAGAAAACAAGAAAAGAGACTGAAAATCAAAGAAAACAAGAAATGCGATATTCACCCTCTGATACCATGTCGTTTAGGGAAGCCATCAGGCAGAATTTTATTAATTGGAAATGAAATGTTACATTATTCTTTACAATACCACATATATATATTAATCTACAAATTACCTATACAGTACTCACAGTTTACATATTTACAACCAGAACTATAAACTAACTAATAACTACATCTAGGTCCTCGTCGTTTCCTCCTTGGACAACTTATCCCCCCGCAAGCTGGTGCGTATATATCAAGACGACCCAGCTTGACCTGCAACTTCTGAAAAATATGGACTGGAAGCGACTTTGTAAACATATCAGCAAGCTGGTTAGCGGAGGAAACATGTAAAACTTTAATCACACCATCAAGAATCCTATCCCTAATAACATGACAGTCAATTTTTATATGTTTTGTACGTTCATGATTGACTGGATTATCAGCAAGTTTGATAGCAGACATACTATCACAATATATGGGAGTGGGAGAGACTGGTTTGCGCTCCTGATTCGTAAGTTGTTTTTCTTCTTTTTCTTGCGTTCTCGTTATTTCCTTCTTCGTTACTGGAAGTAGTCTTTTGATTTTAGCCGTAGGTGGTATAGAATTGCGATGGAAACTCTCGATTCGAATTCCGAGCGGTGAGAGTTGGAGTGATGATTGGAAATTCCTGTTTATGTGAAGAACGAATTACGATTGTTTCTGAACTTTGTTGATGGCGGAATTAGGTTTCATCAGCGGGGTATCAGCTAATTAGCTATAAACAAATTGCAGAGAGAAGTCAGCCGTGAGTCACAGTATTACTTGGCGGCATCCAATTTCTGCTCGGCGAGTGGAAATTGATGGAGCTACGGCCTATGGAGTGTCTGGTTCGAATCATTTGGGATTCGCTGCTCTCCCTCTTCAAAATATTTGACCTCTCTGTAGTCTTTGATGGAGAATGAAGATTGCTCTGTACTGTGCAGGCACTCCGGCTGATTGTACTTCCTTAGGAGTCTCGGGAGCGCTGTTTCCTTCAGTTCCTAACCTGGTAGCTCTCTGGCTTTCATTCTCTAGCTTCGAAACTGACACTTAGAAGAATGCTGTGAACAATTGGGTTCAGATTTCAGATTCCTTATTGGTTGCTAGTAACTATGCCATGGATGATCATGTTTGCCTTATGTTGAACTAGCTCAACGATTTAGATGCCTAGTCTTTTTTAATTTTACTTATGATGAGTCCTTCTGCTTAGAACTTGTGGTGGATCCCTCATTCTTTGTTGTGCAGTATCTGTTCCCAAAACACTGTCTCTCTAAAGTTTACTGTGTGTTATAAATTTGATGTACGCAGGTGGTGAGTGGCATAAACATGGGGAGCAACTGCGGCTATCACATGTATGAATCAATTACCACTTCCATGATTTTTGTGTGGCACACTTAGCGAAGTATTAGATATGAAATCCGCGAAATTACTGGAGACTACGATTACTGCATTTCTATACACTGATGATTCCCTTGTTTGGTATGACAGCGTGTACTCCGGCACAGTTGCTGGTGCCCGTGAGGCCTTCTTGAAAGACATCCCTTCAGTCTCTGTATCATATGATTGGCAAGATACACTCTTCTCTACACTTAGCTTTCCGTCTTGTGGTAAATTTATTATAGTTAATCTAACTACACCGCATATTTTACATTAAAATGCAGAGCACTAATTAGTGTGTCTGTTTCTAACTGTTCTGAATCTGTAGGGTTGGGGGAAAGAGCAGTGTTGATGACTTCACCCTTGCTGCTGAGGCTTGCATACCAATTATATCAAGCATACTTGCTGAAGTTAAAAATAAAAAATATCCATCTGGGTGCTTCTTGAATGTAGACTTGCCAACAAATGTTACCCAGCACAAGGTATAATTTCAAGCATAAAACCTTTGAATGTGGAACTTTTTTTTTTTAATGTTTGAATGTGGAACTTATATATCTTGCTAATGTGTCTGGAGAGTTGGGGCACGCAAGTCATTTTATGTTTAAATCTAATGACTATAAAATGTCTGGACGACGGAAGGGGGATGCTGATCTGAAAACCTTCCTTTGGTTTAGGTGTGGTAGACTGTACATTGGGCTATTCTTATACTATTTGGCTGTCACTTGTAATACTAGCATTTTGTTCTTTTATTGATTGGAATAGGGGTATAAGCTCACCAGACAAGGTAAAAGCATATATAGAACGGGATGGAAGCAAGTTACTTCTACCACACGAGGGAAAATGTTGTCAACAATGACAATGGATACAGATGCAAAGATGCCAGTGGAGGCTGATATAATGGCTGATGCATCCCAAGGAAGTCTCATCTTCCAAAGAGAAGTCGGTCCCTTTCTTTCTTACCTTCATTCTTTTCGCCAGAGTTTTGGTATTCTTCTTGCAGCTTAGAAAGTGGGAATTCCTTTCTATTTACCAAACAAACCCCATTTTTAGGAAGATAAGATTTACTTACTTGAATCTGACTCTTCTCAGGTGGAAGGAGCACAAATTGTTGAAGATGATTCGGACCACAAATATCTCAAGGATGGATATGTACGTGTTATAACTTAAATGTATTCCCTGCTTTCACTGAAATCTTGTTTACTGTAATTTGAGTGAGCGGGACCATCTTGCTATTTCTCTCTGTTTCAGATTACTGTAACTCCCCTTGCTGCTCTTTCCCCTGCTGACGTAGGCTGCCACACATACTTCAAAGATTGGCTACCGAGTGTAGTTGACCACACATCCCCGTCTGCCTTATAAGTTGCTGCATTTTATTGGGAAAGCGTCCAAAGTGGTGAACTCATTACTGGTGAGTTTCAATTTCGTACTTTCCCCCCTCTGTTTCAACCTCAGTGTCCGTTCTGATATCACTTCATCCTGCAGTCTATTTCTAGAACGTCTTTCTATTCTGCTAGACTCTTCACTCCTGCAATTTGGTAAGTCTTTTAATAGCTGTAGGACTCTTGCGATCTCCATGCAAAAACCGATTGCGACCCGGTTAATAGCCATAGGAATAAACACAAAGAAGAATAAGTCGAAGAGTTAACTCCTTAGTTTAGAATTGAAACCATAGCTTAATAACCTTGGATCGTGAAACTGTACTGCATACCAGACAAGTGAGCCTAGTGGTTCAGGGTATATTAGAGGTAGTAAAAGGCGTTATAGAACTGTGATATTCCCATACTGGTTTTATCAGCGTTAGGTGGTCTAGCTCAAAGTGCAAACATTTAAACTAGGCCTCATCCAATCTCATTGCAGAAGACAATCACCTATGACCTATGTGAATTGCTTGTTCCTGTAGCTAGGGTCTGGGGAATTGGGTTCGGTTTTTCGGTTTAAACCAAAACTGATAAGAATCCTATCGGTTTCGTGGTTTTTGTGTTAACTGTTTTGGTTTCGGTTTAAGCGGGAAAACCGATAAGAACCCAAACTCGAATCTTGCTCTAACGGAAACTAAGAAGAAGGGGTTTCGGTTTGTTCTAATTGAACCGAACCTGTTAAGAGTCTTATCGGGTTTTGGCTAACCGAAAACCGATAAGACCCTTAATGTGCTCAAGTTCGATTTTGGAGTAATTCTTTATCGTTATTTTGGTTTTTAATGGTTTCGGTTCGGTTAACCGAATCAAATTGAACTGTCACCCCTACGGCTGTAGCTCATATCTTCTATCTCGCGGCTCTTCCGTTACTTGACAAATGCTAATTCACCGAAGGGTTGCCTTTTTCTCTCAGGAAAACAAGAGAGAGAGAGAGGCGTTCAAGCTTTGAAGAATCCTAAAGAAGTACCATTTGCTTGGAGTGATTAGAAGCAAGATAAGTAACTGCTGATGTACATATTGTGCTGCATTAAAAGAGTTTGCACCACATGAGTGACAGCTCTACCATTTTAGATTTAAAAGCCTCAAATTTAGCAGTTTGCGTGGTGCAATTCATGTTTGTTGACATGATGCCTACTTGCCTAGCTAATTGCATGGGCGGTGTATTCGTTGGACTTCCACAGGATGCTGTGTTCGGCCTAAACAAGGAAAGAAGCTACCTTTTCTTTTCATTATCGCCCTCTTTACAAAGGTTTTGGTCTAAAGTTTTCACAAAACTGAAGGGACAGTGTGACGTGGACAATAATGGACAGTGACTACCAGGATGCTTTACTATCAATATTCAGCTTTACCTACATGGCTACGTATGAAACCAACACCTGGCTTTAGTACTCTAGCGTCATTAATCAACAGGCCTCAACATTAATCGATATCAAATCAGGTAAATGGCAAAACGAAAAGGAACTCTCAATGATAATGAGATGGTAAATAGTGAGGTTTCAACTTTGAGATTTTGGTGTGAATTTCATCTGGTAATTCACTCGTTAGACATTCTTGTCAATGGAGAAAAACAATTTTTGTTGAAGACTTTTATCAAGTTTTGTCCAAGGATCCAAGCATAACGTCTTGTTCTCTCCATTTGATAACATCAAATATGAATTCAATGAATAGAATAATAATAAACTTTGTTACTATTGGCATTAGGGATGACAATAAGGCGGGTTTGGAGCGTGTTTGCCTAAACCATCCCCATCCCCGTTTTCAAATATCTATACTCATATCCGCCCCATATCCATGGATTTCGGGTACCCATGGGTAATACCCGCCCCATACATCCAACATTATAATACCGAATATTTTACATGTAGATTTTCAATTATAACATTAAATGCACCTACTATATCATTAAGTCGGCAAAGAGAGAATCATTTTTAATATGATTCAAAGCATCTTATCCTAAAGCATCCATTAATCCATATCAGAGTAGAGTACAATGTCATCCAAATCATTATTCTCTACTCTGATACAACTATTAAGTAATAATAACTAACAAAATCTTCTTAACAAGGGGAAAAAGTGAAAGAGCAAAGGAAAAATTGAGAGAAAGAAATTAGATTTTGATTTGGGTGGTCACCATTTCTACTATATATTTTTCTTGAGCTATACTCATTGTTATTGATAGGTATCAAAATGATTCACATATTTTTCATATATGAAAAAATATTTTTGGTGTGGCGAGTATGTGTATGGGGCGGGGGAGGCTAAATCCATACTCATCAAACTTTTTGCGGGTTTTACTTATACCCGCCCCATATGATATAATCAAAGTTGCGCAGGGTCAAGCTTCTCGAACCAAACAGAACCAGATAGGATGGAAATCGATCGGACAGTACTCACCCGTGAATAAGGGCAATCGATATATGAATCGATCGGACAGATTCAACTCGGAATAAAGGGCAATCGATATGGGTAGCTCGCCACAACCAGGGTGATTACCTAGCTGATAAGAGTCGCTCTAGCACTCTGGAGATTCTCGACAGAGTAATTAGGGCAAATTCCGCGTAGGGAACTCGGCTTTAGCCTCTGAAATTCAATAATAATCGTCTAAGGGTAAAACCAACGTGTTCAGCCCTTTAAATAGGCAAAATACAACCCAAATCCGACTCCAACATGGAAAAACAATCATAAACCGACTTTAAAACAAGGAAACTCGGAAACAGCCCAGCAAACCCGTTAAGCCCAACCCGTTAAGCCTGGACCCGTTAAGTAAACCCGTTAAGGCTGCTTCTTGCAATCTGCCTTCTCTTCAGCACTTCCTCCTTCTTCCTCCACTCGAATCATCATATATGGCTTCCCTCGAAATAGCTCCACATCCCTGGCTCCAAAGTAGCTATCCAAATATGTCGCAAGCTTCTCCTTCAACGTCCTTGCCTTAGCACGTGTGACTGGCCCATTGATGTCCTCATCAGCCCCTCCTTCTTCAAAAGGATTTGCCCTCAAATCCGAATTGCCATCCAAATAAGGTGCAATGTCAGAAACATTAAATGTTGCACTTACTCCATACTCTCCCGGCAAGTCGATCTTGTAGGCATTGCTTCCAATCTTCGAAACCACCTGGAAAGGACCATCACATCTGGGCATTAACTTCGATTTCCTCTGTTGGGGAAACCTCTCCTTCCTCAAATGCACCCACACCCAGTCGCTAACTTCAAAGTGCCTCGGTTTCCTATTTTTGTTCACATTGCGCATGATCTGCTCCGTCCTTCTCTCAATGTTCAATCTCGCCTTCTCATGTAATATCTTCACGAACTCAGCTTTCTTGGCTCCATCGAGATTGACCTGCTCATTCAAAGGTAATGGTATCAAATCCAATGGAGTGAGTGGATTGAAACCATACACGAGCTCAAACGGAGTGAACTTCGTCGTCGAGTGCACCATCCTGTTGTAAGCAAACTCTACATGGGGAAGGCAGTCCTCCCAAACCTTGATGTTGCTCTTGATCACAGCTCGAAGCATCTGGGATAATGTTCGATTGACCACCTCTGTTTGCCCATCGGTTTGAGGGTGACATGTAGTAGAGAACAACAGCTTCGTCCCCAGTTTGCTCCACAACGTCTTCCAGAAGAAACTCAGAAACTTAGTATCTCGATCGGATATTATGGAACGCGGCATCCCATGCAATCGCACCACTTCCCTGAAAAACAAATCAGCCACGTTAACCGCATCGTCAGTCTTATGGCATGGGATAAAGTGTGCCATCTTCGAGAATCGATCCACCACCACGAAAATCGAATCTCTTCCCTTCCTTGTCCGCGGCAAACCAAGCACAAAATCCATAGAGATGTCGATCCATGGAGCATATGGAATCGGTAGCGGTGTGTACAATCCAGATGATTGCACCTTCGACTTGGCATGCTTGCACTCCACACACCTCGCACACAGACTCTCCACGTCTCCCTTCATGTGCGGCCAATAGAAGTGCTCTTGTAGACAACTCAGCGTCTTGTCTACACCGAAATGTGCCATTAAGCCTCCTCCATGAGCCTCTTTCAACAGCAACTCTCGAAGTGATGATCGAGGAATACACAACTGGTTAGCTCGAAACAAGTAGCCATCACTTCGATAGAACTTCCCATCCCCATGATGCTCACAAGCTCTATAGATCTCTCCAAAGTCAGCATCATCAGAATAGAGCTCCTTGATATGCTCGAAACCCAAATACTTCACCCCCATTGTCGTGATCAACGAATGTCTTCGAGATAGGGCATCAGCAACTACATTTTCTTTGCCCTGCTTGTACTTGATCACATAAGGAAAGGACTCAATGAACTCAACCCATCGAGCATGTCTCTTGTCCAGCTTGTGTTGAGCTTTCAAATACTTCAACGACTCGTGATCAGTGTGAATCACGAACTCCTTCGGCCAAAGATAGTGCTGCCATGTCTCTAAGGCTCGAACTAGAGCATAAAGCTCCTTGTCGTACGTCGGATAGTTGAGGGCAGCCCCACTCAACTTCTCACTTAAGTAAGCAATCGGCTTCTTCTCTTGCATCAACACTGCTCCAATTCCCAAACCAGAAGCATCACACTCCACCTCGAATGTCTTATTGAAATCCGGCAACATCAGAATAGGTGAATGCGTGAGCTTGTGCTTGAGCAGCTCGAATGCTCTGGTCTGCTCCTCTCCCCAATAGAACGTCACGTTCTTCTTGATGATGGATGTCAATGGTGCGGCAATGGTGCTGAAGTTGGGCACAAATCGACGATAAAATCCAGCAAGCCCATGAAAGCTCCGCACCTCATTCACGTTGGTTGGAATAGGCCAATCGCGAATTGCTTTCACCTTCTCTTCATCCACCTTGACTCCATCTGCACTCACCACAAAACCAAGAAAAATAACACTAGAAGTGCAAAACGAGCACTTCTTGAGGTTAGCATACAATTTCTCCTTTCTCAACATCGCCAACACCTCTCTCAAGTGATTGAGATGATCCTCCATGCACTTTGAGTAGATCAGAATGTCGTCGAAGTATACGACCACGAACTTGCCAATGAATGGCCTCAAAACATGGTTCATCAGCCTCATGAAAGTGCTAGGAGCATTGGTTAAACCAAAGGGCATCACCATCCATTCGTATAGACCCTGCTTGGTCTTAAACGCAGTCTTCCACTCGTCTCCCTCCTTCATACGAATTTGGTGGTAACCTGATCTCAAATCAATCTTGGAAAACACCGTAGAGCCATGTAATTCATCAAGCATATCATCTAATCGTGGAATTGGATGACGATACTTAACTGTAATTTGATTGATGGCTCGGCAGTCTACACACATCCGCCAGGTGTGATCCTTCTTTGGCACGAGAATCACCAGGAACTAGCACACGGGCTCAAACTTTCTCGAACATGCCCCCTCTCCATGAGCTCGTCAATCTGCCTTTGCAGCTCTTTGGTCTCTTCCGGGTTAGCTCGATATGCTGCCTTGTTTGGAATTTGAGCTCCCGGCATGAAATCAATTTGGTGCTCAATTCCTCGAATAGGAGGCAGCCCCTTCGGTGCTTCCTCTGGAAACACATCCTCGAACTCATCCAACACCACTCTTGCTTCGGCCGGAACTTCTTGGACTAGCTCTTGATTGAGCAGCACGTCCCTGTACATGAGCACAATCAAAGGTTCTCGTGCACAGGCAGCTTGCTTCAAATCTCCATTGCGTGCTAGCATCACTGCCTTTGAATCCACAATTCCAGCTCCCTCTTCTCCTTTCTTGGCCGAGGCATTACTTGCCTTTTCTTGCTCTCGACGTTGCTGCATTTGGAGTTGATCTCGATATACTTCACTTGGAGACAGAGGCTTCAACACGAACTTCTTGCCTCCATGTTGCAACTTGTACTTATTTGTCACTCCATCATGCTGTGCTTTTCGATCAAATTGCCATGGCCTGCCAAAAAGCACATGTGCGGCTTGCATAGGCACTATATCACACAAAATCTCATCTTTGTAATCTCCAATCACGAACTTCATTAGTGCCTGCTTTGTGACCTTGATGGATCCGTGATCGTTAAGCCATTACAGCGTGTATGGCTTTGGATGCTTCAACGTAGGCAGCCCTAGCCTCTTCACCGCGCACGCGCTCACAACGTTCGTGCAACTTCCTCCATCGATCACTAGAGACAGCAACTTCCCATCAACTACACATCTCGTATGGAAGATATTTTCTCTCTGTTCACTCTCCTCCTTAGGCTGCACAGACAATACTCTCCGTGCTACAAACAAGCTGCCTGGAGGTGGTTCCATTTCCTTAGACTCATCGACATCAGAATCGGTGGTCTCTTCCTCTTCCTCCGATACATACTCACCATTATCAAGCAAGATCAGGGTCTTCTTATTGGCACACTGGCTCGCAATGTGTCCTCTTCCATGGCATTTGAAACAACGAATTTCCCCCGACGATCCACCTTGCTTCATAACTGGATTTGCACCATCAGCCCTTGCCGCGGGTCTAGGAGCTTCTTTCACGGGCAGTTGCGGCTTAGGGTTGGTTGCAACTCCTTGGCTCGAACGTGTAGGAATTCATGGAGGGTTGAAATCCTCCTATTTCGAAGCTGTCGTTCCACTTTACTTGCCATATCCACCAAATCTTCAAGTTCAAGGAACGGTTGTATCTCCACCACGTTCTTGATCTCTCGATTGAGACCATACAGAAAACGAGCTATGATAGCCTCGCGGTCCTCTCTCACATCAGCACGTATCATCAACACTTCCAACTCTTTGTGATAATCTTCAACGCTTTTAGTTCCTTGCCGGAGAAGCTGGAGGTTTTGATACATATCTCGCAAATGGGAACTCGGTACAAACCGATCCCTCATAATTCCTTTCATCTCATCCCACGTCTCAATAGGACGCTGTCTGTTTCTCCTTCGTTTCGTTCCCAACTGATCCCACCAAACAAGTGCATAATCCGAGAACACTAGGGCAGCCAATGTCACTTTCTTCTTCTCGGAGTAGTTATGATAATCAAACACTAGTTCCATCTTTCGCTCCCAATCCAAATAAGCATCAGGGTTCGTGGTACCGCGAAAAGGTGGAATCGTGACCTTGAGGTTTCGCAAATCATCATCCTCCTCAAAGCCCTCTTCTTCCTCGTCATTAAACTCCTCTTCATGATGCTGCTGCCGCCCTCTCCTTTCAGCTCGAGGCATTCCAAGGCGTCTATGCTGGCGCATATGACGTTGTACTTCGTGAACCAAGGGTGGAGGAGCTCGGTTTTCCCTTCCCCTTTCTTCTTGTCGAGGTCTAGGGTTAGGGTTTGCATCGACCACAACCGGCTGCTGGAGCCTTGTCTCGACAGCCTCCATCCTCGTGGCTTGCTCGGCAAGCCTTGCGGTTTGCTCTTCTTGAGCACGAGCAATGTTCTCCAATTGATTTCTGATCGCTTCGAGTGCTGCTTCCATGTTTGCGATGCAAGAAAACTCCAAGAACACAAGAACTCGCACAACCTGCTTCTTGCCTCGCAAGAAACACCACGAACTCCCAAGAACAAACAACCTCCTGTCTTGCGGCTCAAGAACACGCCAAGACCTTCAAGAACTCGCACAAAACCACCAAGAACACAAACAAGAACGCACAAGATCTTCAAAGAAAACTTCAAGAACACGCCACTGATTTGAACCTTAGCTCCGATACCACTTGATATAATCAAAGTTGCGCAGGGTCAAGCTTCTCGAACCAAACAGAACCAGATAGGATGGAAATCGATCGGACAGTACTCACCCGTGAATAAGGGCAATCGATATATGAATCGATCGGACAGATTCAACTCGGAATAAAGGGCAATCGATATGGGTAGCTCGCCACAACCAGGGTGATTACCTAGCTGATAAGAGTCGCTCTAGCACTCTGGAGATTCTCGACAGAGTAATTAGGGCAAATTCCGCGTAGGGAACTCGGCTTTAGCCTCTGAAATTCAATAATAATCGTCTAAGGGTAAAACCAACGTGTTCAGCCCTTTAAATAGGCAAAATACAACCCAAATCCGACTCCAACATGGAAAAACAATCACAAACCGACTTTAAAACAAGGAAACTCGGAAACAGCCCAGCAAACCCGTTAAGCCCAACCCGTTAAGCCTGGACCCGTTAAGTAAACCCGTTAAGGCTGCTTCTTGCAATCTGCCTTCTCTTAAGCACTTCCTCCTTCTTCCTCCACTCGAATCATCATATATGGCTTCCCTCGAAATAGCTCCACATCCCTGGCTCCAAAGTAGCTATCCAAATATGTCGCAAGCTTCTCCTTCAACGTCCTTGCCTTAGCACGTGTGACTGGCCCATTGATGTCCTCATCAGCATACCCAGTCAATGCGGGGATTTGGAGGCGGTCGGATACCCATGAATTTGATTTTCATCCCTAATTGGCATATGGAAAAGTAGTTTATTTTTAACCGGTAAATCTTGGATATGAATTTTGATTACGTCAAATACTGTCCCGTCTTTCATGACGTCCTATCACTCTATCCAAGAAGAATGATATATGTCACCTGGTTATTCACATTTTAAATCCATCTCAAAGAAAATGAAAATATTTTATATAGATTTTGATATAGTTATGTTCGAATTTAACGTGTTATTCTTTCGTGCGGATGATGCAGCATCAGAATTCACCGATTCAGAAGAATGACAAACTATCTGCAATTCGCCTTCTGGTAGCCTTGATTTGCTCATTCGAAAACATAGAAACGTTGTGACTATCATATTCTGGTGGTATAGAGGAGTGGTAATTAGTCTGATTGGAGATGGTAGTAGTTGAATCTCAAAACCAATCAATATGAAGGGAGTGAAAGTGAAGTGAGACACGTCCAGGATTTTCAATGGTGGAGAGAATTTGCGCAAAACCAAATTAAAAAAAAACCTCATTATTCATCATAATCACAGAAAAGGTACTGTTCGAGTCGATGTAGTAAATTACGAGTCTGTCTAATTCATGTGTTGTCCAATCCCTTCAGATATCTTTCGCTTTTCGCAGAGTCAACTTCGGTAACCATACATGAATTGAAAGAAGAGACAAACCGTCACCCCCCGCCCTTCTCAACCGCTGAAACTGACAAAGCAACTATCGCCAGAGAGAGACAGAGCACAGCTCACTTTGAAGAACAAGAAGAAATCTAGAAACACCATTTCCCCCCATGATTCCTACCCACCAAATTCCCCTTTAGGGTTTCACTGCCGTCTAAGCATGTTCAATGGAAGATCCCAAAAACGCCAGAAGGAAAGCATATACAAGAACAGGGGAAAGCAAAGAAAACAGGGGAAGGACCAAAAAAGATGATGAGCATTCCTAATGTCTGTCTATGTTTTAATAAAACACGAATATAAATACGGTTTAATTATTGTTACTATGTACAAAGATGAGGGTACGGTTGAGCTCGAATGTATGTGTCATTTCCGCCGCGATCCAAGGTGCAGTTCTGCAATGATACTACTGCTCTTGCTCATTGCTGCTTTGATGGCTGCTGCTGTGGCTGCAGAGGGGAATTGGCCTCCACCAGTATCGACCACAGAACATGAACATCTTCGTACGGGCACGACTTCACATCGTCGTACAAAATGTATATCCCTCTTCCTGCGATGGAAACCCGGGTGGAAACAAAAGTTCGATCAGACAGAATTGTACAGCGATGGTGAAATGGGAGAAACAGAGGAGATGAAAAAACAGAGCAATGAAGCTTCAATTGGGGGACTAATTGATATAATGGTTGGAGAATTGAGAGAGAAGAGAGTAAGGAGGCTATCTACACGTACTTTTGCTGGGTGTGGCGTGGAGGCGGAACCAGAGCTTCTTCAATGGGGAGAAGAGGGATTGAAGCCACCCCATTTGGGTTTTTGTGGGTGGTGAAAGAAAGAAAATGGTGGGGAGAGGAAGGTGGAAAATATACAGCACTTTCCAACTTTTAGAAGGGAAAAAAAATTAAGGTAAAAGGGACAGGGGAACCACCAAAAGGGTGATTGCTTATACTTGGGGTGAAAATATACACATTGCTACACACACTACACCTCCACAAATTACAAAAGAATCTCACAAAACACCTAAAAAAATTCTAGATATGGATTTTGTTATCTCCTTCAATTGCTTACTACTTCAAGAAAACCCAATTGGATGTTTTTCTTTGTGTATCCTTAATGCTAGAGTGGATTGCCTTACTTATTTTCTTGCGGATTTCATTCATTGTATGGATTGGGTTACAGATTTTGATATTATTTCAGTCTTGATGATGAGACCTTACTTTTTTTTTCTCTTGGAAAAGAAATGAAGTTGATCTTATTGTCAAAATAATGAAAAATATGGAATATTATATAATGAGAGAGCATTTCATGATAGATAAAAAGTCACTTATACTAATTGATGTCTCAATATATCTTCCCACTACAATAAATTTTTAAAAATTAATACTCGATAAATTAATAATATATTTATAAATTAATAATTACTCTCATCCCCAAATGTGTAATATAAACTATAATTAAATTTAATTCAAATAATAAGATAATAATTTTTTAGGACTAACCTACATAAAAAGTTAAACACATGTATTTTCAATTATATAAATTAATAATTGTAAAAATATAATTGATCAAGAACTTTATTTTATAACTAGGATAATCTAAAAAATGTGAACCTATAGTTGTTTGCTTCTTTTTGAAGTTCAAATGAAGAATAAGTTTGTCTTGAACTTTTCTCATTGCAATAAAAACATGCAGTGAAGTCTTCTCTTATTGCAACAAGTAGTTTTGTAGGATCGACGCGGCTTTTATTACAATGAATTTGTAGAATTCGATAAGTTATCGTATGAATTTGGAATATTTGAAAGATACAGTGAATATTTATTTTATAGAAAAAAGATACAAGGAATATTTAAGGGGTATTCAAAGTAATTATGCATAAATTTGAACGATTAAGATAATACAAGAAAGCTTTTTAAGTTATTAATTACTAACTATTATACTTCAAGGTCCGTCTATATTGATTTATTGTACAAGTATTATGATTAAAAGTCCTATTCTATAAGTATAAACTAGAAACAAGTAAAAAAGTACAATCATTGAGTCACGATACTTAAAGATTTGGGTGTGCCTACGGTGACATGCATGTCACGGTGACTTGCACTTTCCGGTCGACCTCAGTTAGGATTAGGTCGACCTCAGTTAGGATTAGGTCGACCTCACATAGAATTCGGTCGACCTCATATAGGATCCGGTCGACCTCATTTAGGATTCGGTCGACCTCATATAGGATCCGGTCGACCTAATATGTTGTTTCAGTGTAAAAACAGTTCATGGTGCCTACTTTGGATATTCATATCATACAATTGGCTAGATGGAAATTGAAGACTAATGACTTGTTTTGAAGCTGGAGTGTCCCTCTACATATTGAAGTGATTGAGAGCTCGATAGGAAGTCCAGAAGACCATTTTTGAACATCATCAAAAGGCTATGCCAAAACTGGGAAACTGCCTAGAAATGGCTAAGTCTGGAAACGTGTTTGTGAAGCCTATTTTTGAGCTCAATTCGAGAAGCATGAATGCGAGTCGAGTCCAGGAGCCTCTACCACGTTAAATTAGGTATGTTTTTATACAAATTCAAGGAATTGGATGAAAGATTGGATATCTTTAAGGCTTCAAACAAAAGGGTCGAAGTTGCTACGCAGGCTGTTTTTCTGGCAGACTTCGAGCACAAGCAAGCTGCCAGAAAAACAGCCTTCGTAGCAACTTCGAGCCTTTTGTTTGAAGCCTTAAAGATATTCAATCTTTCATTCAATGCCTTGCCTTTGTATAAAAAAATACGTAATTTAACGTGGTAAAGGCCCCTGGACTTTACTCGCATCCATGCTTGTCAAATTGAGCTCCAAAGTAGGCTTGACAAACACGTTGCCAGACTTAGCCATTTTCAGGCAGTTTTCCAGTTTTGGCATAGCCTTTTGGTCAGGTTCAAAAATGGTCTTCTGGACTTTCTATTGAGCTCCCAAGTACTTTAATGTGTAGAGGGACACTTCAGCTTCAAAACAAGCCTTTAATCTCTAATTTCCATCTAGCCAATTGTAAGATATGAATCTCCAAAGTAGGCACCATGAAACTGTTTGTACACTGAAACAACTGATTAGGTCGACCTGATCCTATATGAGGTCGACCGAAAAGTGCATGTCACCGTGACATGCATGTCACCGTAGCAAAGTCCTAAAGATTTATATACCTGGTTGTTTTTTTTTTTTTTTTACAATTACCTGGTTGGTTAACAAGTACCAACAATATAAAGATTTATCAACAACTAGGCCAATAATTATATTTTTTCGTAACAATACAATATTTTTTTACACTACAACAATACAAATATACAATGTATGTTTTTTCAATATAATTTGTTTCTCTTGGTGATGAATCCTGCCATTCACATTCTGATTTTACAATGTCGGTAGCAAGAGAACTTTCTTTCCTCCCCACCCCACCAATCACCAGTGTTTTTCACACTTCCGCCCCAAGCCTCTCCACTCATTTCTTTTCTTCCTTTTAGGGTTTTTTATAAACAAATCATTGCCGTTATTATATTTATTTGTTAATTTTGATTTCTCTTTTTTTAATTTAAAATTTAGAATTCAATTAGCAACTATTGGTCTAATGAATTATTTTCTATAAACGAATTCAATTAGCAACACGTGAGTTTGTACTTTATTTTAATCAATTTTATATAATATGATCTTTAATTTATCGGTTTGTGTTTCCGTAATGTTTTTTAAGTAGACACAAAGCGATGGACTGAAAGTAGGCTTGTTGTACAAGTATGTGTTTGCCCCACCTCCACCTGTCAACTCCCTATTTGGTCCTCTTTGGCCTTTGCTCTTTGTTTCAATCCCCGCCTTTAAAGTGTTCAAAGTTCAAACATGGGCCATGTCTATTTTTTACCCAAACCTTTTTCAGATTCTTTTATTTTAATCAAATCTATTGAATTCCTAAAAATTATTCAAACGTTAACTCTCCGTCAACTTTTCTGTTAGTAATGTTGACTAAGTATGACCATAATGAGTTGACTTCCTACGTGGCGGTCAGAATACCATCATTTACTATTTTTAATAAAAAGATTATCAAAAAACAAAACAAAATCTCATCCCTCACGTGGACGAAATAAGTAACGGTAACAGAATGAATGCCAGACTTTGATAAATTATAATACGTTTGCATAATAAATAGAATTTCTATAGATTTGGTTAAAATAAAAGAATCTGAAAAAGATTTGGGTAAAAAATAGACATTGCCCTTCAAACATCAAAGAGATTTGATCAAAGAGCGCCAAAGAAGGGAATTCCATATTGCAATTGCATTAGGATAATTAGAGGCGGTTTGTTTATGATATTTTCTCTGAGTTATTTGTGTATCAAATGATTAGTTTGTTAAGGAAAAAATGAGTCATTTGGTTTCAACTTTCAACAAAAAACATAAATTGAGTTTGGGTTATAACTGCCGGAGGTAGAAGCATTGGGAATTTATGTTTCTCCGTTTTTATTTTTTTTATTTTTGTTTTATTTTTTAATTTTATTATAATAATTTTTTGGAATTATGTCTAATTTAGGAATTTTTAAGTTTATTTATGCTGATTGGGCAGTGATATGGCGGGTTTGACCGTTAGTCAACACCATTGATCGTCAAAATTAACATTCAACTCTCGAGTTTGGCCAAATTAGTAAAATGTAGGATTAGTCAGTCCATGGTATTAAATAATAAAAGGATTGGCCATGATATTAAATATAGAAAAAATTTGGACAAGACCAATATATTAACCTAATTTCTTACGTGTGCAAATTCCTAGTCCTTCCTAGATTAGGATATTGGTTGGCTAGGATTAGGGATGGCAAAAAGAATCAATATTTGAGTATTACTATGGGTCGTACTATTTGTAGCCCTAAATTATTTTTATTTGTAGCCCTAAATTATAAAAAGTACAATAATACCCATAACATTTAAATACATTTACTTCACACATTCCAAGACCAAAACATTCAAACACTTTTCCAAACACAATCCAACAACACTCGCCGCCGGCGACCGCCACCTCCCGCCGGCGACCGCCACCTCCCGCCGGCGACCGCCACCTCCCGCCGGCGACCGCGCCACCTCCCGCCGGCGACCGCGCCACCTCCCGCCGGCGACCGCCACCCCCGCCGACGACAGCTCCTTTCTCCGACGAGGTACGTCGGCAAATAACCCGACAACGACGGACGAACGTCCGGCCGGGACGTCGCCGGCGACGGACGAACGTCCGGCCGGGACGTCGCCGGCGACGGACGAACGTCCTGCCGGGACGTCGCCGGCGAATTATTTTATTTTTAATTTTTTGTTAATTTAAATTTGTGAAGTATATTAGATTTTTAAAATATATTAATTTAGATTTTCGGTTATTATTTTAGATTTTTTAATTATCATATTGTTTAGAAAAATTTGTTCTAATATTATTTTTAAAATGAAGTTATTGAATTTTTATTTTTCATATTTCGAAACTAAGTTAATGTTTTCTGAATTTAGACTTTTAATTGCCATATTTTAAGAATATGTAGTGTTTTTATTATTGTAATTTATTATTTTATGAATATTGTAATTACCATATTTTTAGTAGGATTTTTTATAATATTATTTGTAGAATGAAGTTCTTTAACTTCATTTTTTATTATTTTGAAACTAAGTTAATGTTTACTAACAATAATTTAGACTTTGAAGAATATTTAGCGATTTTATTGTAGTTTATTATTTTATGATATTGTAATTATCATATTTTGTAGGATGGATTTGCTATAATATTATTTTTAGAATGAATTTCTTGAATTTCATTTTTTTATATTTTGAAACTATGTTAGTATTACTGAAACTATTTTTTTGTATGTATTTCTTGAAGTTGGTCAAGTTCGGACTTCCGGATATCACTACATCAGATAATGAGTAACACGGTTAGTGAGTTAAACTTTTTAATTTTGGAATCATGTTGAATTATTTATTGTTATGATGAAGTCTAGTAATTGATAATATGCTTAAATATTTTCTTTACAATGATACATATTGTTTGAAAAATGTTGAATTATTGATTTTACTATCTTGTTGATAATTTAATTAGTACGTGTCTACTTGTTGCATGTTGAAATATTAGGATTTGGTAGTTAATCATGTTAAATGTGCTAATTTTTTATTGAAAATGTATTGGATTAGTTAATGTTCAAATATTGAATAATTGTTAACAACGTTGTGTTGTTGATAATTTAATGAGTACGTGTCTACTTGTTAAAAACTTTTTATTGCATATTGAAATATTAGGATTTGGTAGTTAATCATGCTAAATGTGCTAATTTTTTGTTGAAAATGTATTGGATTAGTTTATGTTCGAATATTGAATAATTGTTAATAACTTGTTTAATATTTTTTAATAAGAAGATAAATATAAAATCTAATATTGCAAACAAGTCATCAAATTTTCTAAAACTTATATAAGACTCAATCCATTTTCAAATTGTAAGAATTCAATTTACAACAAACATTACAAGTCATGAAAAGTGTTGAAACTTATGTAAGACTCAATCTATATCAAATTGGAATAATTTAATCTACAACAAACATTTCAAAATTAGTATCACTAATAAGATAAATGTGTTTATTTTAGGGAGATCCGGAAGATAAAGGAGACAAAGTTGATTATACTCAATTTTTCATAACAAATACAAGATATAAGTCATGGAATGAAGCTATGGAAGGTGCGAAAGTGATTGCAAAAGATCTTGGGTTCTTTTTGACACATTCATCAACCAAATCAAATGATGGCGAGAAGTACCCCCGAATATATCTTCACTGCCATCGTGGATATAAGAACAATACATATGTCCCAGATCCGGATATGAAAGGACGATCCAACACAAAGTCACTTAAAGATGGTTGTCGTTTTCGAGTGAGACTGGTGGGACTCCCGCAGGAAAAGACTTGGATGATTGATGGTGTGAAGGACAATCACAATCCGGGACAATTTTGTGGGTTTCACAACCATGCATTAGAGCTTTATCCCGAAGGCCACACTCAGAGGAATGCTTTTACTAATGAAGAGCTAAAGGATATGAAGGAGATGGAATGGGCTCGTGTTGCTCCTCGAAAAATGATGCAAACTATCAACCAAAACTATGGTACTCACCATAACAAACGACAATTTTACAACATGACAGCAAATATAAGGATTGAGAGATTGAGTGGCATGACCCCTTCGGATTGGACGTTACACCATGCGAGAGAGATGGGGTACTACATTGGCTACAAGCGTGATGATGATCGCCACCTTACTCACCTTTTTCTTGCTCACCCTGAGTCCGTTCGGATGTTGAGTGCTTGGTACCATGTAATCTTGATTGATTCCACATACAAGACGAACAAATATAAGAGGCCCCTGGTTGAGGTTATTGGTGTTACCCCCGTCAAGAGGAACTTCAACATTGGATTTGCTATGATGGAGGGGGAAACCACAGATTCTTATGTTTGGCTTTTGAGAGAGTTACAGAACATGCTTGGAGATCGCATACCGAATGCAATTCTAACTGACAAGGAGGGAGGATTGGTTGCCGCTATCCCTCAGGTCTTCACGAAATCGGCCCACTTGTTGTGTATATGGCACATAAAGCGGAACATTGAAGCTAAGATGATGGATTTGGGGATACCACAAGAAGTTGCTCGAGGAGTGGTACATGGTTCTTGGAAGAAGGTGATGGAAGCCACCACGCCACATGCCATGATTGAGGAATGGGAAAATTTCAAAAATGGATTTTGGGGGAGGAATAGTAAGTTGATAGAATACTTGGATCGTGAGTGCTTGGAGCATAAAGAGAAGTGGGCTTGTGCTTACACTAACAATATTTTTCATATTGGTAACACAAGTACGAATAGGGTTGAATCGGCTCACTCGACTCTTAAAGCTTGGTTAAACACTTCGACTGGGGGAGTTGATACATTATTTTTATCATGGCATGCTAGCATTGGGGGGCAAGTGATCGAAATTAGGAAAGAGCTAGAGACATGTCGAACAAAGACATTCAAAGGAGCCTATGGACCACCCTACGGCGTTATAAGGGGAAGTGTAAGCCTATATGCGCTTGAGTTGATGTTTGTAGAGGGAAAGAAGACTCCTTCGGAATGTGATTGTGTGATTGGGAGGACACATGGGCTCCCATGCAGTTGTCGAATCAACTCCTTTAAAGGAGCGGGAGACCATTTTCAGATAACACACTTGGCACCATTCTGGTCTACTTTGGACTATGCTAACCCTCATGATGCAAGACGGTTCGAAGACAATGACGCCAATGATCTTCAGATTTTTCATGATCTAGTGGCTGAGGTGTGTAGACGTGGTCCATCCATAAAAAGAGAAAAGCAACAACCTCAGATGTTACAGGTTTGTATTGAATAATTTGAGTTGTTTTGTTAAATTCATTGATATTCAATAAGTATGTTTAATATGCCAATAAGATAACTAAAAAAAACTACATCCACAGGTGGCCCGAAAAGGGATCCCATGACCAAGATTGATGGAGTGAATGTTTTTCCTTACTTTCGCTTCGTCCCAGAAAGTGTCAGAGATCGATGTCTTGGTTGGTGGGACCCTGCTCCTGATGGACATTGCGGATTTCGAGCTCTTTCACATGCACTTCATGGAGATGAGGATCACCACTTGTGGGTGAGAAAGGCTATTATAGATGAAGTCATGTCGATCCAACAATGTGAGTACGCATATGAAGATGTGGGTACGCATATGAAGATGTGAGTACGCATATGAAGATGTGGGGCAGACGATCCTCGGGTGGGTACGTCCCATATACCACTGTAGATACCCATCCTCGGTATCTTCCGGTTTTTGAACAGGTCTCGATATCGAATCCAACTGCACCGAGTGGCAGTGAGGGGCCTTCCAAAGCTCACTCAAGCCGGGACCGTAGGACAAGGAGTACATCTTGACATTCGCAGATCGGCAAACATCAACTGGAGGAAGCAGATCTGAGGGGATGGTCTATACGTACCCAAACTGACGGAGGCAACGCGAGGGATCGTACATCTCCTCAACACTCATGCACCGAATGACACCAGAGTACAAAGAACGAGAGACCATCGCACCAGGTCTGGGGCCGAATGGGCACCAAAAAACGAACTCATCTGTCATATTATCCAGTACTCGACGATAGTGATCCAACCTCTCATTCATCAACTGTGCCCCACCTCCAATTCTCACCCCCTCCCACTTCTTAGCAAAAGGTTCCCCGCACACCAATCCACGTGTCCCCAACTTCTGATCTCGTAAACACGGGAAGTACTCGTAGATCCAGCTCTGAAGGAGGGTCAAACAGCCACCCATGCCTTTGCAATCCGCTCGAGACGCCATGCCGAGTTGCCTATACAAATAGGCGAGTGTAGCAGACCCCCAAGAATATTTCCTCACCCGTCTAGTGTCCCCCAAGAACTGGAGAGGCCAAACCTGCGCCCGATCCCCACTCCTGTCGACAAACAAGGTGGTCCCCAACAAACAGGTCAAGAACATCCATACCTCAGAATCTCTTTCCCGAAACCTCCCAACCTGCTGCATAGCTTCAGCACACACTAAACCCCCACTCTTAAGCGAAGGCTTGGATCGTTCATTCAATTGTTCGACCCTCAGCATCTCACACAACTGTGCTTTCACACTCTCATTCCCTACAACCATATCTCCACCGACTGGAATCCCAAGCAACACTGCAACGTCGTGGAGCGTGATGGTCATCTCTCCAAAAGGCATGTGAAAGGTGTTGGTGTCAGGCTGCCACCTCTCCACAAATGCCACAAGTAAAGGTCCGTCCAAGTGCTGGATCGAGCAGTCCAACAACTTGCGCAACCCTGTCCTCTCAACCAATGCTGCAGCACCCTCACTCTGAAATTTGTAATCTTTCAAATAATTGACTGTCAATGCTCTAGTCGACAACTTGAATGAATCCATTCGGCGAGCCCCTAAACCATCATCCCATAATCGATAAGCCACATGACCTCCAAAACTAGGAATCAGGCTATGATCGATAGGCCCCCCCGGCCCACTCCTGTCGAGAATCCACGAATCAGCTTCTCTCGCCTTCTTCCTCTTACTAGTGCTGCCCTCCTCCGAATCGGGTCGTGATGACTCAAAACGACCACGAGCCCCACGTCTAACATGAACAAACTGAGAGGACGAAGAAGACACAAAAGGAGCCTCGGGCTCTAATCTAGGTCCACTAGAACCACCTGCACTCGGATGGTTGCTCTCGAAGAAAGCATCATTTACATGCGGGAAGTCATCATAATTGTCATCACTGCCATCATACTCATCCACTCCCTCAAAAGCTGTATCTAAGTCAAAAGGCACGGGAGGCGGGGGAGAAGGATTCTCCACAAGTCTAGCACGTCGACGCTCATTCTCGGCTTCCTCACGACGCGACCTCAATACTATACGGTTGGTCACCCTCGACGGCTCTACCTCCTTCAACTTCTTCTTTCCTCTTGTATCCACCATTTTCTACCTATTAAAATTTGAATTAAAATTATTGTCAGATTATTATCATCATGTAATAGTTATTAGCAATGTTCATATGATAATTGTTAGTTCTCATATAATAAATTTTTATATTCAAATGTTCAAGGTTCGTATATTTGTCTATTATAATTTAACATTCGTATATAATTTCAATTACAATAAAATTCCCATCACAATATAATATTCGAAATTATAATGAATTTCACAATAAATTCTAACTTAATTTTCTTGCTTAAATTGTCTATTATAATTTAACATTCGTATATAATTTCAATTACAATAAAATTCCCATCACAATATAATGTTCAAAATTGTAATGTATTTCACGATGAATTCTAACTTAATTTTCTTGCTTAAATTGTCAATTGCAATTTAAGGTTCGTACAACAATTAATATTTACTATGAAATAAAATTCTATATTTAAATTATTAAACTTTCTTATATTTATCAATTAAAATTTACCTTTCCTATCTAATTTCAATTAAATGAAAACATTAACCGACATAATTTTCGTATATATTAAATATTAACATATTTAAAGAAGATAATTAACATACATAATTTAAACAGATAATTAGAGTAATTAACCTACATTAAATCATAATAATTAAAGCATATAATTAACCTACATAATTAAAGGAGATAATTAGAGTAATTTTTTAAATTAATTTAAATTATATAATTAACCTACATTAAATCATAATAATTATAATAAATAAATAACCTAAATTTAAAAAAAAAAAAATTTGACTCGCCGCCGGCTAGGGCGACGTCCTGTTGCCCCATTCCAACTTATTGATAAAGTCAAGTTTAGTTAATTTTACTTTTTGGACATTCTCGTATCCAAATTTTAGTTTGGGTTTGTTGGATACATGGTATTAGATACTCAAAAGAAAATGAATACCCGATTTCAACGCATTTTTGTCTGTTATTTTTTTGTTGCGAAACAAATAAAAAGGTGTAATTAGGTTGAAGACAATTAATAAGATTGTAAATATTGTCTTTATGCGTAAAATCTTTTGGATCCAAAATAGACCCATTTAGATACGATCCAAATGAGTTTGCTCAAATTGAATCCAATTCAATTCAACTCAACCAAAACCTATTCAAAATTCATATATATCCAACCGAATATCTATATAGTCATAATAATTGAGTCAAATTATCCATTCTCCGATTGGTTCTATTATCTCTACTCCATGAATTTACCAGTTCTCTAATCATAAACAGGTCATCCCTAGGTATAAATAATATTTTATAAGTGTTGAATTCGGAATAAGAATTAGCAAAGATCAAATGGTGTTCTAGGCTTGTTTGTAGCCCCTGTTTAAGGCAATCATAAAGTTCAAAGGAAGTTGGGCCGTATTTTATCAGCCCCAGGGAACAAAGATTGAAGCCCATAAAAGATTGCGAAGCGTCCGTCATCCCGTTGTGAAGAAGGAAGCCCAACCAAATAAGTGAGCAAACTGGCTCTAGCTTTGGACTATCGGACTGATCGAAATATAAGCGAGCCTAACATCAAGAACCCAATTCACGTGCTCGGGTCCAACGTAGGAGTGGGCATTTGGTTGGTTCGGTGTAGGGCTGGGAAACGGTGCGATCTGGTCCAGACCAAACCATATATACGGTCTACGGTCCAGATCGAGAGGCTGAAGTATAGACCACAAACCAGACCACGGCCTATACGGTCCGGTCCAGACCACGTCTGTACGGTTTGGTTCGGTCTAGTCTGGTCCAGATAGACCACACTCAACGAACAATGAATAATTTATTTAGTCAACCACACAAAAACTTGAACCAATAACCAAGAAAAATAATTGTTATTTGCCTTAAAACATTAATCCTAACATGCATGAATAATTTTGATGCCCTAAATCTTAGTACATAACAAAGATACAAAGTAAAAGCATCCCAACTTGCACCATAACGTCATAAACATTAACCTAATGTCATATGGAGACACGTTTATCTCTACTCTCTGGTTAAATGTGGTTGTGAATGAAGCAGGGACGAATTTCACAAAACTAAGGTTGAGACTTGGGTGTCGTTGTGGGAGTTGGTAGAGTGGTCGAATGTGATGTTAACACGTATTGACAAGTCGGTTGGGTCCACGGTTTGGTCCGATAAACCGCGGTCTAGACCAGACCAGACCAAGAAATCAAAACATAAAATAATACGACCATGGACCAGACCAGACAATACTTAACAGTCCACGGTCCGGACCAAACTGTGCGGTAAGGTATGGACCACGGTTTTTCTAACGGTCTGGTCTATTTTCCCAGCCCTAGTTCGGTGTTTATGAATACAGGGTCCCCAAATTCCACTAAACCTCAAACCAAATTCGAACCGAATTATAATTTGGTTCGATTTGGAATTTCACACAAAACCGAAAATGTTGAGACTATTTGTATTTTTTCCTTTTTAAATTATTTTTCACCTGTAATGTAAACAATAAATATGAGATTATATGCATCATCAATGATAAAATCAAACATTTCAATACATACATCATAAAACACTAACATGATTCAAATATTTAAGTTTTTATACAACTACAAACATAAAAATCCACCGTTTGGAGCTTACAAAAAAAAAAAAAAAAAAAAAAAAAAAATTATAGTAATTCGGATTTTCAGTCAGAAATTCGATTAGGTTAAAAGAACCTTGGTTTCCAAATATCCATATTTTCCTTCCGAATTTCGAACCGAATAGCATTGTTTCGGTTTTAGTTCGGTTCGGGTTTACCAAACCAGTTGCCCACCCCTAGTCCAACCGTTTTGAACTATGTGCTCCGCTAATTAAGGGATCGTTTGCTTTATAGATTTGAAAAACGAAGATTTTGGTTAAAATATGGGTTTTACAAAACCATGGATATATGATGGAATTGTCTCATTTAGTTTTTGGTACAAACCATCGTTTGCTTGTTGGATTTCATGATGGATTTGACATTGTTATATTTGTGGTTGTATTAGGAACTTATCTAAGTGCCCTTATTGAGCAATTTTCATCCAATAGCTTCGTCCCACTACCACAATCGGGAAAAAATGAACATCATCAATCAATAACAACTTCATATAATACACACAATTAGACAATTCCCTAATATTTGGCAAAATTCATTTCTAGAACCAGAACTTTGACGTTTGTGACAATAATAGCCACTTTTGCGGAAATACCGCAAAATTTAACGGCGTCAGTGACACCGTTAGTCAAATTAACGAAAATCTTACCTAGCTGCCAACACACCCTCTCTTTCATTTCCACCTCAGCATTCAATGACAGATGGATGACAGGTCATTTACAAAAGTAAAAAAAATTAACCCTACCTAAACCTTCACACAAAAAAAGTTAAAAAAACTCATCTCCTCGTCTTCCCACCTCTCTCCCTATTAGCCTCCGCTGCCCTCACCATGTCCGGTGATGGCCCAACTCCTTGCTAGCTCCGGCGAAGTCCCCGGCGGCGACTTCATTCAATCCACCATCGACTTGGGCTTCAATAGGTGAATCGACACAACCAATGTTTTAAGCGGCGCTTCAACGGAGCTTCGACAAAGGATTGGATTTGTCAATTTCCCTATGCATCTGAGGTCGGATGAGATGGATCAAACTCTACTAAATTTTCCCGGAATGAAGACGTATCTCGAACAGAACTCGAGCCCCTTTTGCTAAAGCCCAAACATTTCCCCTCAATATACAAAGAGCGATAGCTCTAGGTGCTATCGGGAACGAGACGCCGTAAATAGCATAACAACCGCCCAACTTCATCGTCGTTAGGGGTGGACAACCAGTTAGGTAAACCCGATCCGAACTGAAACCAAAATAATTCTATTCGGTTCAAAATTTGGAAGGAAAATATGGATATTGCGGAAACCAGGGTTCTTTCAAACGAACCAAAATTCCGACTGAAAAACCGAATATCAAAACTATAAGCTCCAAATGGTGGATTTTTTTATGTTTGTATTTGTTTTGAGACTTAAATATTTGAATCATGTTAGGATTTTATAACTTATGTGTTGAAATTTTTGATTTTATCATTGATGATGCATATTTATTGTTTACATTAGGGGTAAAATATAATTTAAAAGGGAGAAAATACAAGTATCCTAACAAATTCGGTTTTGTGTAAAATTCTGAACCGAACTGAATTATAATTCGGTTTTGACCGACCGAATCGAATTATAATTCGGTTCGAATTCGGTTTGAGGTTTGATGGAATTCGGGGACCCGATATGCA